CTAACATCTATCGATAAACTTAGAAGAGAATCCTATTAGACGGTTCGTATTAAGTTTTTATTTAATTACAGGAAAAACAATATTTTCATTTTCATAAGTATGAATTAGCGAGCGGTTTAAGATTTTACAGCAATTATCGTGCGCCATATGATAGTACATTCCCCGTTCGTAATATATTACCCCGAAGAGCGAAAAATAATTATAAATATGCTATTAAACTTATGAGGTAATTGATTGGTAATAAATAAATAATAAATCGTGTAATGGAAACTCCTATGTACGAATAAATTAATAATACGTTTCAATATATATATATATATATATATATATATATATATATATTAAAGGCATTGAGAAAGCCTATAAATTTATTTTTAAGGTTATAATCTAAGAAAAAGGATACTTAAAAATTCAATTATGCTAATTATAATTAAGTGAATAAAGAAAAATTAATGACACCTCTACCGTTTAGCTTTTCTACAATTATCGTATTTGATAAGATAATAAAAATGTATACAAATAAGAATATTAATTGTTATCATTAATTATAGTCAGAATGTATCGTATTTGTTTTGTGTAAGCGCGCGCGCGCGCGCGTGTGTGTGTGTCTGTTTGTCATTAATCTGCAATGTGTAACTTATGCTGACCACCCGAGTATTGGAGAATAAAACTAACAATCGTGTGTACGAGTGGATGAATAATTACGAAAGCAGTGATACATCTATGAATTTACAAATCTACGTACAGATATAAATGTGAATAAAATTTGATATTTTTATAAATAAATTAATTAATTTACAAAGTATTGTTGGTTCTCTATCGCTCGCTACCTCCATTTTTCATTCTCCTTCGCTTAAGATAAATCAATGTTTTGGTCCATTGTCGACTCGGTTATATATGCATTGGTATCAACCATTATTATAACCAGTGAATTTACTATCGTTCACTCCATCGCCAAAAGCCTTAATTGTCCTTTTCTTTTGCTCTAGCTTGTTTGCATAACTATTCGTATACAGTAATAGCGGACTCAGAGAAGTGCTAAATTATTATTGTGATTTTCATGTATTTTACGTAGAGTGAGTGCATGCACGAAAACACGACTGCAAATTCTACATATGTATATATAAATATATATATATATATATATATATATACATCTTGGGGTAGCGCGGATACATGTCTAATTGTACTATTATAAAAATAAAAAATAAAACGAATAAAGCAATTTGAGATTTACATTAAGTTTCGTTAGTTGGCTAAGATATTTGTCAATATTAATGCAAAGCTTCGACTTATGTCGACCGCAATGAAAATAATTTTACTAAATACTTTCAACACTTTTTTTTTCCCCCATAAATTCACAATATTTATTATTATGCCTAAGTCGCGTATTTATATGTATTAATATCATTACGCTCACTTTATTCTCCACTTATTTCTTTCTTTTTATTTGCCAGATAAAAGGAATGTTTGTCGTCAATTTTATTTTACACTCATTTTATTCGAAATTCGTGCACTAATAGCCAAATTGTATTTCAATGCTTCATTGAAGATAAAGAAATTTATATAATTTCTGTGAAATGCAGTTAATAATAGTACAGATTTCTATAATAATTAGAAAATTATTCAATTTAAATGTAAATGCTTTATTCAAATTTCTTTTTAACGTTTGAACTAGTCATTTAATGGCATAACTGACTTACATTCTTATCGACGCTCAATCTTTATAGCAGAGAACATTTTATACGGCATATTTAACAACAAATTACAATTCTTTAACATTTATATCGTCGAAGGCGATCGCACTATCGTTATCAATGAGCGCAAATTGTTCACGAGGGTGGTAATAAGTAGTAATTTGGCCTACAAGCCCTAGGAGACCACAAGCGATAAAGGAAGAGGCAAGGAACAAAGCGTTTGAAAAATCAAAATCACAGCTAATAAGTCTCGTCCAAAGAAAGATCATTTCGGATAATCTGTTGGAAAACCTTCGGAAGCGGCGTGCTCAAAATCCGGTCAGTCCCGCGAGAAATTGATTGTACATTTTCATGATTTTCGTACGAGTGGGGACGTCCCCCCCCCCCCCCCCCCGCCGCCCCACCGCCACCGCCCCGCCAATAAACTACCCCGAAACACCACGCAACCCGCTTGACCGGCCGGCACTCGACTTACCTTCGTGCACTTAATGCACTGAGATACCGAGAAGTCGCTGCTAGACTTGCAGCCCACCACGAACGCCCCCGTGCACGCGCACACGCACACGGACTCGCATCGTTGCCGCACAATAGAGTAAGCACAATATCCAAGACGCACAATAACGGGAGGCACGCGATTCTCTGATCCGTCTTTCGAGAGGCGTTGCCCTTATCTAGCCCATCGCATCGCTAGAGTGACTAACAGGTTTAACACGTGATGCTTGTCTCTCTCTCTCTCTCTCTCTCTCTCTCTCTCTCTCTCTCTCTCTCTCTCTCTCTCTCTCTGGCTCGCCGAAAATAAAAGCAGTGGCCGGAGGTAGCGCCTCCGACGCCAGTGTATCTCTTTTGCTCACCCGGCTTTTCCTCCCGGAGCACTTTCGCGCGCCACCGCCTCGGCCTCTCCCCCTCCTACTCTTCCTCAACGCCGCTGAGGATGTCAGGAGCGAAGGAGAGAAGCGAGCGGAGACGGGGCCCGGAAAGGGTTGCGGCCACGTGTGGCATAATGTGACGTGGTTCACGCATGCCGAGCATTATCGCGCCGAGCGTCATCAAAGGCTAATTCCCTCCCACCTAAACACTCTCGTGCTTATCTAGCGGCTCGGAAATGCTTGGCGAGATTTCATTTAATTTCTCCCTCCCGTGCCACGAGAGCTCGACGCCCTTCAGTCACATCTGGCGGTACGTGAAAAGAGCAATTTCTACGAAGGAGATTGGCCGCATAATCGAGCGCCACTAGATCGTTCGTATTGTATGGCATTATGTGTACGAGGTGGTTGTCTCGAGCCTTACGAATTTTATGATTTTTTTACTCTTAATGCTCGCAAGGTTTTTTTTCTTCTTTTTTTAAGGGTTAGTGCGAGTCACGTTAAGATCTCGAACGAGTGACTATGTGTATCGGGTTTCATTCGGCATAAATCACTTTCAATAAAGAACTTGGTTTTATACCGAAATTCTACACTACTTGTATTCGAATGTCGCCTCCTACGACAGAGAGAGAGAGAGAGAGAGACAGAGAGAGAGAGAGAGAGAGAGAGAGAGAGTGAGAGAGAGAGAGAGAGAGTGAGTGAGAGAGAGAGAGAGAGAGAGAGATAGGGAGACATAATTTATCGATGGAAAGGAATTTTGCTTTCATCTCTTGAAAAGGACCACGAGATTACCGTATAATGAGCAAATTTATCGGCGCGATGCCTTAAAAATACAGATCCAGCATATTGACTTTAAAGAGATTAGAGATTTACGCGTGCGTGTTTATGAGGGCCCTGTCAATACACAATACATTCTATGTTTGTAAAAATATTAACAATTATTATTTATAATTAATATCCCAATATATGATGGATTTTAAGCGTCAAAGGTGCTGGAACGAACAAGTCGATTAAGCATAATGCAAGCTTACAAAAATTCAAAAGCAGCAGACGCATACACATACACACGTACGAACGCATAGCACACAACATACAATGAAAACGAAAGAAATTAATGTTTTCGTGCGTTCGCTTAGCGGGAGGTCAATCTCGAAACGTATACCACTAATATCTCTTTGATTGCTTAACGAATTACATTTAGTCGTTGCGTTATTACACGAGAAAATATAACATTAGCAATATCGATATTTCTTTCAAGATTTATTATAAAGATTCCTCATCTCGAACTGGATATATATATATATATATATATAAATATTTCTATCCGTAATATTTAACGAGATTTAAACAAAATATAAATGTATTATGTGTATGAAACATAGTAGGGCGAATTATCGAATATTACGTAGGACGACTTTTAATAATAATCGGTCATGTGCACATAAATTGCAAATAAAATAGCTACTACTTTATCGTATATAGCCTTTCCTAATCCGATGATTCAGTTTATTTTTTAATAATAAATGCCAATAAAGCCACTATATTTGTCATCTCTATGGTATATCCTTTTCAATTCAATATGCCTAATGTGATTTTTTAAGCAGACTACATATAAAAGGCTGCAGATGAAAGTAAAAATAAGTAATAGCACGGGGATTATGAGACCGTTAGATTTCCAATTTCAACGCAAATAATAAGATAAATATTGTTATAAATAGTAAAAAACATTTATCGCTTATTTAAAATATTATTCAATTAATTGAATATTCTTCTCAATATAACATAACGCTCATACTCGTAACGTATAACATAATTCTAGCCTACTGAGCTCCGTTTAATTAATTAATTATTTATTTATTTCCGATAATATTATGAATATTCCGTATAAATTTACGTTGAGAATTGCCATAATTGTCGTTGAAAGGCAAATTGCGATATAATAAAGCAGAGATCCGAGCAGCGCATCGTTGCGAGCCGATCCTCAGCATCGAATAATAGTTTCCACGGAATACCTAATCATTAATTCGAACGATCTTTGGATTTCGATTAAGTAGGTCGTCTAATTGAAAAGACTAAGCGGCGGTTAGAGCGTACGAGTGCCTGTAAGGAGAGAGCGAGCCAACAACGAACACTAATGCCCCTCTCGACGAAGGAAAAATGTTAACTGAGAAGAAGCGCTGGAAATTGTAGGTTAGCCAGCCTCGTTGAAGCTCTCTCTCGTCGAGCCTTAGAAACGTGTCAATTTAAGCATTTAAATGCCGCGGCTCTTCACCCGGGGCTTTAGGGCACTCGGCTAATCGAACTCTCAGCTCGAGCAGCCAACTCAATCTCCTTAGCAGCGGCCCTCGGCTCTCCCCGGCCCCACGCCGACCTATGACAGACATGCAAAACTAGGGGAAGAGGAGGCCGGGACGAGGGCCACTTTGACTTTCTGACTTACGATTGACGTCGAGGATGAGAAGAGCCGTCTGGGGCGGCACGAGGTTCGTGTTGCTCGCCTGGCAGACGAGCCGAGCTTTGAGGTGCTGCCTGCCGACCCGCGGATAAGACAAGTGGTTGAGGGTCTGACCGGTATCGCTTTTACGCTCGTAGGACTCGTCGATGACGGTGTTCTCGAGGAACCAGGTGAGCCGAGGCGTCGGCTTACCGCCTCGCGCCACGCAGATGAGCTTCACGTCGCTGCCCTCGTTGTAGCGCTTCTCCCGCTCCGAGATCGGGCGCAGCGTCTCACCGTCAAGGATCACGGGCTTACTCGGCGGCTCTGAAAGCAAATGTGCCCCACTGCCATTATGTCGCGTTTATTACTTCGAGCCTTCCTTATAAAAGTCGAGCTTTCGTAATTGCTGCACGGCCGCGCGCATCCACGCTATCTTAAATTTCATTCGCGTCGATTATTGAAGAAATTTTAGCCTTGCCGACTGTCTGCGCGACGTTTGACAACAATCCCAGACTAATTTTATTGAAAATTGACTGAAAATTGACGCATACGAGGTTAAAGAATACTGAGCTCCTCGCAACGCGGTAGCTTTTACACGAACATTCTGTGATAATGATTAGTGATCAACGATTATATTACAATAGAATCGATTAGACTTTTGGAATAACTCGGGTGCAGTGCGCCGCATAAAAGGCAATGCGCAGGGGCTAGAAAGTTAGGACGATAAAATACACGAATGATATAAATTATCCTTTATATTTGGCTCGATGATATACGTATGTTAATGGACGTTGGATATTAAGCAGTCATTATACGTCTAACGCTCTTC